CAGTAAGTCCTTCCTCCCATATCTCTCTGAGTACATTTATCTAAAGCTGTGTTCCATCTTTCCAGGTTTATGACAGATCAATAAACTCACGCCTGTGACACATCATGATGGAAAACAGACACAAAAATACAAGGGCTCTGGAATCAGATAAAGGTGAGCCGCGGTTCTAAGCATCAAGAACAAAATGTCCTACTAGTCATGTCTGTGGTAGATCTGTCATTTAGATAAGCAGAAAAAAAATTCAAGGCCTCTTTAGCTTTCCTATTTTCATGGCTCAAGAGCTCTTAGGTTCTTCTTCCAAGCTCAGGTACAGGGCATTTGAGCTTAGGATTCTCTGAGACTTAGTTACAATCACTTTTGCTACAATCTTCCCTGAATTTGCATTTTTCTTTGGGTCGCTGGGGCAGTACTTGGCTAATCTGTCTGTGAATACTAGTTACTCTCCATTAGGCAGTATGCTGCTCGCTTCTGCTGGTAGCCTGTCCTAGTAGTGACTGATTGCGCCTGACTGAGCTTGAGAGGAATGACTGACCCTTGGTTCCTTGTCACCTGGGCACTATGGTATACTTCTTCAATTGGGTCCAGTCTATGCTAAGATCTTTGTCTATACCCCCTTGAATATGCTATTTTATTGCCCATAATACTATATATTACAGATTAAGTCCTTAATATCTACCTTAGATGTAGAAATATGTCTGATTTATTGATATTTTCTACTTTCATTTATTTATCATTTAAATTTCCTAGCTTAAACATCTTTTAATATAAAACAAAAAACACATATTAATATATAAAAGTATGGGCTCTAGCTATTTCTTTTTGGAAAATTACTGACCTCATGACAAACTATGAATAAATTCCCCAAAGTAGGATGAAGCAAGAGTAATTTATATTCACATGTAAACATAATTATAGTACACAGTTGCATAACTAGAATCAATGTAAATGTGTCAAAGGAAGGAAGCACAAAGATTTAAAAAGCTGATATGAAATAAGAAAATATTCAACCATGTTTTTACTAAGGATTCATTAGCTCAATAGTCTTGAGACCTGGAAAGTGAGGTAACCCAAGTCAAATGTTTCTGATGTTACAGTTCCCCCGTACAAGGCCAGGTGACTGGCAATGGAGGTTAAATCCTACATGTGTTAAGTAGCCTGCCATACAGCAAAGGAAGTAGTTCTGTATTCCTGAGAATTTCCTTGTGCACATGATCAGTGCTGGTGTGCATTTGGAGGATAAATCACCCTATTAAAATGCACGTGTTTAAGTGTGTGTGTGTGTGTGTGTGTGTGTGTGTGTGCGTGTGTGTTAATTACTGGGGACTGAACCCAGGACTTTGCACATATGAGGCAAACACTACCATTAGACACACCCCCAGCCCTTTTAAAATTTTTATTTAGAAACAGAGTTTTGCTCAGTAGTTCTAGTTGGCTTTGAAATCATGATCCTTTGTCATCATGGCTTAAAATGTCTTTAGAAAGCCAAAGCTATAGACAGAGGGTTAACTGAGTGGTAGAGTACTTGCCTAGTAAGCATGAGGCCCTGGGTTTGATCCACACTGAGGTAAGGGGGAGAGTCAAAGCTATATCCCATAATTATGTACAATTACTGCGTGTCAGAAAAAAATATATATATTTTAAAGTCAAAGAGAAATGACTGTACATAAAGCTCTGAGGAATGGGAAAAAATGTTGAGGAAAATGCCCAATTGCTCACTCAGAGAATGAGCAGAACCTAATCCCATCTAGCCTGGGGCTGCTGGGCACCCAGCTCCTTTCACTCTGGGTAGCAAACAAATCCCCAAGTTGCTGCTGAGCCAAACTTTAAAGACCAGTCAGGAAATGAGCAGCACTCCCGAATGGGAAAGCCTAGATCAATGTTTTTTTCTAAAGTAAACAAAAGATCTGCAAAAGTATTTCCTTGCACTATTTGGCAAAAGAAAGAAGCACCTGGAGAGTGAGTTAGGAAGGGAAAGCATATAAGAAATGGAGTAAAACAAGGATGGTTATAATGAAGCTTTGTCTCACTAATCTCCAGAGCCCAAGTGTTCTATTAGGAAACAAAGCTGCAAATGAAGAGACACTCAGAGAGACCGGTTGATTAAGAATACATTCAAAGGAGGGATGTGTAGATAAATACTTTTCTGGAATTTTATCTTTCATTTGGCTTTAAAAAAAACACTTGTAAAGTATCTTCTAGAAAGTCAATGTAGAATATATGCATTAAAATAAACGAAGGCTGGGGAAGAAGCATGAGCAATGAGGGAAGCAATTATCTTTGGAGGCAGAAATTCTTTCTTTGCTTCAGTGCAGCATGTGATGCCGGCAATTTTAGCCATTTTCTCTCAGGTGATTTGCAGTGTGAGTTCCGAATGCTGCTTGGGGGTTGAGGGGGCACTGTCTCTGCTCACCTGAGGGAGCAGGGCGCAACTAAAGATGTATGGGGAGGGATCATTCTGTTCAGTAGGGCAGCCTCAGGAGGAAGACATGGTCCTCTTGGGAGGCAGCTGCTGAGGGAAATGAGGCAGCAATTGCATGGTGTTGCCTATGCTCAGTACCCAGCATTAAAAATAAATAAATAAATAAACCCTCACTGGTGCATTTGACTCAACAATGTCTTATCATTAATTTTAGGAAGTCATAGTTTTAGTGCCTTTCTCCCATAAAAAGCCTAAAAACTCAGAGGATGACTAACACCCTTCTCAATGTTTTCTGAAACAAATAACACTTGATATTTGAAGATTAACTGAGGAAAAAATTAATTTGAGCCTTTTCTGCGATGAAATAGAAAGTGTCACTAAAAGGAGCAATGGGTTGAGAACACTGCTGGATAATTTTTATAAGCAAAACAGAATTCCTATTTTTCCTGGCCTTCAAACCTCATCACCCCAAGTAAGAGAAATAAGGCTTGGGGCTGGTCAGGAGGCAATTAATGGCTCACTTTATTTCGTAGGTAACATCTGATAGAAACGTATTTTTTTCCCCACTGCAGCCCAGGCTCTACTTTTAGAGCCTACCTGTTGGAGAAAATCAAAGTTAAAGACGCAAATCCCTGGGATGCCAAGGACACAGCTACCTGGACAGTATTTGTGACTACTTGAAGTCAACATGCTCCTGAAGTATTGATTTCCCCCCGTCTTATGTAATGTTAACATTTATTTATTCATTCACCTGCTTCTAGATGTTCCTTACTAAAGGTTAAGTGGTTGTGAAATCACAGGCACTGGAGAATCAAAAGCTGTTGTAAGCTCTTAGCCAAGTAATGGTACCTCAGAGCTTGCCTCTGACAAGCTTCAGGGTGGGGTCTCTTTGACCATCTGGAGGTTTTAATGTGCTCCATCCATCTCATGCCAACCTGACTTGCCAGAGTTAGGGTCACTGTGCTCTCAGACCCTGGGAGATGGACTCAAGGGAGCTGTGCTCTGAGCCCCTGGGCCCCCTGCAGGTCCATTTGCTTTTTCTGTTCCATGCTATTTTTCTTACTCTCTGTAGGCCCTCACTCGCAGAACTATTATTACTTGCTTCTTACTGCTGACTCATACTCATAGGAAAAAATAATTTTGTCTTCAACACCTCTTCCCTGTCATTTAAGGCATATGTTAATGAAAGACAAATTTTGGCATCTACTCTGTAGCTCTGAGGCCACAATATAGATTCATGAAGATGCAACTGTTATTTTACTTCTATTTATATTTATAACTACACCAAAGACATCTTGCAGGTACCTTTGTGCCTCTCAAATCCCAAACCATATTCCAAGAAATGCTCAACATTTCATGCTTGAATTGGCATTAATGTGGCATTAATGTACATACAATGTTTTAAATAAAGATGTTTTCACTCATGTTTTATTACTGATGCCTCCTGACTTCACATATTTTAAATGATCATAGAGCTGAATCCCTCTGAGGACATTGTAAGGGCTTTCCCCCCACCTTATAGTATAGAATGGCTTTTTCTGTAAGTGAGGAGTACACAGGCGATGAGTGCTCTGCTGGGAGGGTTGCCAAGTCCAAAGCCGATGCCGGGGTGGGGGTTGGGTGGGGTAGGGCAAGAGCAGAACTGAACATATGCAGAATGCTGAAAAGAACTGGCTGAAAACATTTTGCTTTGTCATTCCTCTCAGTTCCTTTTCCTTCCCTTCTCTTCCAATTTTTAACTGTAGACAAGGGCAACCTACTTATTTCACAAAATGATCTAGAATGAGCCGTAATCTTGAAGGTTGTCTGACCCCAACTCCCACCCATTGTGATAGCTGTCTGCTTCAGTCAGGAGCTCCTTCTTTTCCAACACCTTCCCCAGCAGCACCTGAGCCTATCAATTATAAATGCAGTGATGTGAGGAAAGGTTTTGGAATCAGACAATTCTGAGTCCTCATTCTGGCTCAATCGCTCTGTCTTCCCAGGCAAGTGACTAAACATCTGAGTACCAGTCCTCATCTGGTAAATGGCTACATGAGAGCTTGAGGATTAAATGAAGTACAGTGTGCAGTATGACAAGACTAAGCACTCAGAGCCAAGTGGAAAGTAGCTAAGCAGATCAGTCGGAACTAGGACCCATAACTTCCTGTCTGACTCTTAGGCAATACTTTTTCTGTAACATCATACTGTCATTCTCACAATGTCTCATAAAACCATTGAAAAAATGTTGTTGAGTATTGTGTATGCTACCTTGTAGATTGTGAATGCTGTTATTAATAACAATACCTCACATATATATTCTGTGCTCTAGAATTTACAAGGCACTTTCACAAGTGGGGAAAATAGCTCCGACAACATGGAGTCTACTGATGACTAACAGAGGCAAGAAGGAGGAGCTGAAGCTTTGAAAGAGATCTATTAACTATGCAAATGTGAAGTCCTCTGCACTTGTGAGGAGCATAATAAACATCAGAGCCAATTAGAAGTAACAATGCACGATACATTCAGGCTTCAGAACGCTGATGAGTTAGAAAACCATAGGAATATAGCATAGGAGTTTTAGGGCAAGAATTTAACTTACCTGAAGTTTACCAATCCAGATGGTTCACACAGCTTTATGTTTTGCTCTCAAAAAGGCAGCTACTTGCAGATGGGTGGATTTCCATGTACAAACTAGAGTACAGCAATGATTTAGAATTACATAACGGTAGAAATCAAGATGTGTTCACAATTTGGAGACAAAGCATATGGAACTGAAACAAGCAAAGCAAATAAGTTCTCAGAAGTCAGTGTTAACTGGATTTTTCAATGCAGACAAATGTGACACACTAAATGCAAAATTTATAATAATAGAAACTGTTATCTCGACTTTCTCACAACTTTCTGAAGCAGTTAGTTCTTCATGTGAGAATTTTTACATTTGGACAATGCTCAAAAGTTAATTTTTAGAAATGGAGAAAAATGGAGGTGTATTTTAACATATTATTTCATTGTTTCTGTAAAGTTAGAAGATGAAAGACTATACCTCCTTCTGTTAGAAGATGGTGTGGTTGAAATTCAGCTCCCTTAGAAGAAGAAGAAGAAGATGATGATGATGATGATGATGATGATGATGATGATGATGATGACATAGTATATGTGTTGGATTGGGGACCAATCCAACCTTTGCACTGAGCTACCTGCCCAGTTCTTTTTCCAGTGTTTTGAGACAGGATCTCCACTAAGTTGCTAACTTGCCCAGGTTAGGCTTGAACTTGCAATCCTCTTGGCTCAATCTCCCAGAGTGCTGGGTTACAGTTGTATGCCATCACACCTAGCTAGAAGAATTTCTAAATATCAGATTCTGCCTAACCAAATGGTCCTAGCTTTATAAATGGGGGGTGAGGGATTACAATTTCATGCAGTTATCAAATACTTTAAGCTAATGCCCAAACATACATTTGCAACATTTCATAATTTCTTAATATCAATAGGCAAAATTCCAGATGGGCCTTTCCCTTTCCATTCTCCACACAATCTACACTTGTTTTTGGTTGTTGTTGGTCCACGGCAGACCCTAAGGACGAGGTTGACACAGGTAGGGTAGGAGACAGAAGGACTGAATGGACAAGAGGATGTGGGGAAAGAAAGGCCCTGCTGTACAGCCATGTTGAATAGGAGGTCTATGCTGGACAGAGCCCAAGGCAGCTCAGTTTGTGTCTCACAGTCCAAATTTGGTTGATGTATTTTTGAAGCTTCTAAAGGTTAACTCACATGCTGTAATATATTATGGAAAGACATGAAGCTGAATTTTACTGTGCCAGTCAAGAGGCTGGCTTGAATCTCCTATTTAGAACTGAGAGAGACAGTACAATTTACATGTGTGAGAATGTGAGAATAATTTTACCTTCTGTTGTTTTTAAAACCACCTTGGGCCATGATTTTTAAGTGGAGACACAAGAAGATCTGCTGGGGTTCCCATAGCAACATTAACTTATCTAAACTGCCCTTGTTGTATGCAATACTTTCATGACTAGTTTGGCTTTTAAATGCACAGTTTAATTATGAAATAAAACTAAGTTAAGCATCTCAAGCAAATTTTGACTTTTACATTTACTGATGTATGTATATTTAAATAGAAACCTTGATAACCATATTTCTAAGGACTTGCCACCAAGGCAAGTTTATGCAAAATCTTTCTGTGGTCTTCCTTGCTACTGACTCTGATCTTAATCCATTCCATTCTGCAGACAACTCTTCAACAAATCCTTTAAGTACATTCATGAAACACCATGGTGAGGAAACCAACCTCAGATGGCTCCAGTTGGAACTAGAAGTCAACAAACCTACTATTATAAGCTGCTTACAAGCTGACTCTCCCTGTCCATCTCTTTTCTGCTACTCCTCATCAGTAACCTCATCATTAGCATCCCAAACCAGAAACTAATTGTCTCACTATATTCTGAGAACAGAAGGTCAAGGGATAGCCTGCAGCCTAACTCCTTCTAGAAGCCTGATTCTTCCCTATTCCTTTTCACAATTACTCTCTCTCTCTCTTTAGAACCATGACTACTGTTATCATCACTATACAATGTTTTGATGGTGAAAAAGCAGCCTCCCTCCTCCTCTTTTTTGGCAACTGTATCTTAATTTTCCTCTGAGGAACTTTCCCCAACCCCATCATTTCTGGTGCACCATCAATTAAACTTCTTTGCCTCAACCTGTCAAGTGACGAGCCCATGACCTAAGCTAGATTGATTACATCTTCCAGAAAGCTGAATGTCAAGGAATTCAAAAGGGAGAAAGAGTTGAAATTAAATTATTCCTATGGTGGTCCTTCTAAGAAAGTTTCCCTTTCTTCCAGAATTCTGTGACTCACAATCAAAGTTCACTAGCTAGTAAGTTCCCCATTTGAGTATTTATTTATTTATTTATTTATTTTTGGTACCAGGGATTGAACTCAGATCCTTGCACTTGTGAGCACTGAGCTAAGTCCCCAGCCCTATTCATATGTTATTTTATGTCATGATTTTTTGGTTTGCCAGCTTAACACTACCTATGTTCAGTGAAAACAGGACTGGGCCTTCATTTATTGTATTATTCCATGTAATTCAGCATAATGTAAGTACTTGGGAAATTTTGGATAATGAAAGACTAATCTTAGAAATCGATTTTTGTTTTTTGTTTTTTCTAAAACAAACTGCAGTTTGCAAGCCAACATATGTCCTTATTGATGCAGTGGTGGAAGTCAATTTCTAATTGCTACAGGAATTTTCTTGAGTATGCCAGTTGTCCTAAAGAGAGCTTACAGCTTAAACATCTAAGAATAGCCTGAAAGTAATGCTAGCATGGGCCATACTTCCCCAATTTTAGGAAAGAACAAAACTAAAAGTGTATTTCAGACATTAATCTCTGAATTAAAGAAACAAATGTTTTGGGGAAAACAGACAAAAAACGATACACTTCAATCTTGGGCTTATAAGTTTTTATAGAAACAAGGTCTACTGCCTCTCTGCTGTTAAGATGACAATGGGGGAGAGTTCAACTGTTTGTGAAATGCTTTAAATAAAGAAGATGATAAATGTGTATATAAAGATGATTTTTTCTACTTCTAAAATGTAGCAGGTTATGGTTTCCGAAAAGTATCTGATTTATATCAGTAATTTAATGTAATGCTTATAAAATTCATAGAATAAACCAGATGGTTAGATGTAATAAACCCATAAAAGCTTGCACATACCAAGTTTTGAAGATACAATAAAATGGTACACTTGTCCAGAACAACTTATATATATATGTTTAAAATGCACGAAGAGCTTACCCAAGATAGAACACTAAGATATACAAATTCTCTCTTCTTCTCATTGTCTTTTGAGAAACAAAAGGTTTTCAGGAATTGTTAAACATCAGAGTCCTCTGGTTTTATGTCTTATGGTACATATTTCAGTCATGAGAAAGGAGAGGAAAATGTCAATTTGGAGCTATTTTGAGTCCAGTGCAATGGTTTTTGGAATTTTCCTTGAACCCACACTCGATGCATTTTCACTTGTTTTTTCCTATTAACTTGTAAGCGATGATCAACCAGATTTTGCTTTTCATCTAATCCAGCCTTGCAGAACATACGGTGGACTTCCCCTTTGAGACAAAAATGGCAATCAAAGACAGGACGTGTGACTGGGGTGGGGGATGTAAGGAGCAGTGGAATACTGATGGAACGATTAAACATGCAAATTTCATTTATACCAAGAAACAACACCTAACACAACTGGGTGAAGGAAACCTGTGAATCCAAGTGGGTTTCTTCTCAGACACAAAAGTGTACCAAGCATAAACAGGCTAACACAGCAGGCATTAAGCAGCTATGGAAAACTACTGGCATTTTGAAAGATGCCTCTTTTCTGAGTTTCTGTTGGTTTATAGAGTCCCAAAATGGCACATTATAAAAGTTTGGGGGAAATCTTTGAATGCAGGATTCATTTGGTATTGTCAGAAATACTTTTTTAAAAAAATAGAAATTGACAAGAGATAAGTAATTTTCTGTACAGTTAGAAGATTCCCTCATTTGGCTGTTACATTATTCAATTTTTTGGCTAACAACATCTCCAAAATTTTATACTGTACCATCACTTGAGTATGAGTGGGACAAGTGACTCTTTAAAGCAGTTTTAACTGGAAAAAGATTAAAAGGCAAGAAGGCCATTTTCAAATTTTTATGTGGATTACAAGCATCAAAGTATGAAGACATTTGATGTTTAATCAACTGCTGAGGTCTCATTTTTATAACTTTTGTCTTTCTCCTCACATATAACTAAAGAGAGTTTTCACAGCTAATTATGTCCTTTTACAGATCAGCATACCTTTTGTAAAGAAATATGCTCGGGTACCATCTCCTCGAACATAAAAATTTTCAGATAAACAATGCCCTAAAAATAATAAGTAAAAAAACCCTTGGTATTCCTTAACAAACAATAAAAATCCAAGCAACTTGATGTAAAATATAAACAAGGTATTCTTTAAAACACATGAAAATAACCCCAAAGTGAGTATAATATTACCCTTTTTAAAACGCAGCTGAGTGTTATCATATCTTCCATAGTCCCGGAAGAGAAGCATTCCCCCAGGCTTCAGCAACTTAGACAGTCGGTTGACAACACCTTGCATCCTTTGAAAACAAAGTAAGATACTTGCTTTGTGGAAATCTTGTTTGATATGCCAGATTGAAACTTCTTGAGACAAAATAGAAAAGGCTCAATATGGCCAAAGAAGTCTAAACCATAAGTGGAAGGGCAACAAAAACAAATTTTTTTTTTTTTTTTGGTTTTAGGAGACAGGGTCTCACTATGAAGTTGAGACTGACCTGGAACTCACTTTGTAGCCCAGGCTGGTCTCAAACTTGCAGCGATCCTCCTGCCTCAGCCTCCTAAATTCTGGGATTATAGGCATGCGCCACCACGCCCCATTTTTTTTGTTGTTGTTGTTGTTAAAAAATATTTTATAAAGAAGGAACAAAAGGGGCTGGGGATTTAGCTCAGTGATTCTACCATTTGCCTCTCAAGCATAAGGTCCCAAGTTCCATGCCAGGTACCAAAACCACATTCAGAAGGCTTATCACCCAAATGACAGGCCTGGACATTTTACAGAGCTTGAAGTGTGGCATCAAAAGCTAAACTACAAAAAGATGTTTCTTGATATTTACAGCAAAGCATGATGGTGCTGAGGGAGACTTAAAATAAATGAAGGTGCTTCATTTGAAAAACAAAAACTATGTCAGAGTCTCCCCAAATGGTACATATCAAATCAGGAATCATCCTTTCTCCAAATTAGCTCATTCTTTCTCTGATTTGTTTAGTTCAAAGATACCCTTATTCACCTCAGGAGGAAGAGATTACTTTTTTCTTCCTCTGTCCTCTCCACGTGGACATCAAATTGTATGTCCTCTTCCTTCTTTTTTCCTTTTATGCCAGCCATCTTTGATACTGTCTCACTCTTGTTTCCCACTGGTACTTTCTGAGTACAAATCCCTAGCTCCTGAGGCCTAGAAACAGAAATGCCTTCCAACATGCTTTGTTTTTCTTCCATCAGTTCTTCTGGCATATTATTAATGAAATATTCTGCTTAAAATGATGATTTTGTCAAATCACCTCCTTGCTCAAAAACTTTCATTACTTCAATCCACAGAGCAAAATTTTATTTCTTAGTAGATCTCTTAAGATTACTCCTGACCCCAATAAATCCTTCCCATATCTTTTTCTCTACTTCCCATCCTAAATACCTTTTCTAGCCTAACAGTTAAGTGCTTGGTTCTGGGCAGCCTATGCCTTTGCTTACAGGTTGCCTCTCAAAGAAATCTTTCCCCCTTGTTTTCTTTCTATTTAAATTTTATTCACATCTCAATTCCCAACTCAATATCAGGAAGCCTTTGCTTCCTTCCTTTTACCATTTATTCTTACTTATATGTCTTGTGGTCAAATAAAACCCCTTAAAAGTGTCTTTGATTTGGTACTTTTGATTACAAGTTCATGGCCTTGTGTGATTAAGGGCCAGAAGCAAAGATGGAGTTCTCATATCAATGCCGAGTGACTGGCATTAGCTGCCTACAGAGCTTTAATGAGGAGGACACACGGAGCTCACTGGGAATGACAGAGTACAAAATTGATTATCAATGTCTGCCACAAGCAGAGAATGGTAAATGGCAGTTTCTGTGCTATGCCTGTGATCTCTTTGCTTTAGCCAAGCTACTAAAAGATGCTGAGATTTTCTTATTTTGAAAATCAGGAGTTTAAATTAGATAATGTGTGAATTCCTTCTAATTGAAACACTATTTGGTGGAATAGTGGGGTGGAAGCCAAATTATGTCACATCATGAGGGAAATACATATAGTGAGAAAATAAAAGCAAGAAAGAAATATGACAGAAAGAGTATGAGTATGTAAAAGGTCATTTTTGAAAACTGGGTCATAAATGAACAAAAGGGAAAAGGGAAAGTATTTTATCCTTGTTTATTATAGATTACAGCCACACTGCTTATATCCTCAGGCTTTGGCAATAAAGAAAACCATATTTAAACCATAAAATAATTACTTTTAGGACAAGTTTTATGTACAGAGGCAACATCTCTGTAATTGTAAGGAAAACACAAATGATACCAAAATGAAAAATAATAAAGAACCAAGTACTTCAAAATGTAGCTAGCTCCAACTATCCTTTAATGCCTGGGTTTGTGGATAAAGGCAAGGAGTAGGGAGCCACTTTTCTTGATGGTCCCTGTCCTGTTTCGAAACACTATTCCAGATCGGTTAACTGAGAACTGCAGGGTGGACTGGGCTGGGGACAACGTAGGTAAGATAAGACAAAAGCTCCTTTTCTTTCTTCCTCCTAACTGGCTGACTCTTCTGTCCTCACCTACCTCTGAGGTGAGGCAGATGAAGGGAGAAAGAAGAGATTTTTAAAAAGGAGTATTTGTTGACTATGTTTAGATTTATAGTAAGTACCTTATACTATATTTTAATGAAAATAGCGTTTCTCTTATAGCCTCTACATCTTATTGCCATGTAAACTGGAACTCCCACAGTCAGGGTCTGACTAAATCTTTGCCAATTATTTGAACCTAGATTTTCCAGGCCACATAAAGCTACTTTACTAGAACTTTCCTGGGGGCAATCCTCTACTATGGTCCTAAATGATCCTAAAGACACTGCCTTGCCTTTTTACTTACTGTTGCCTGCCTTCTACTCATTCATCTTAATTTAATTTGATTATTTATTTAGAGATGGGATCTCACTATGTTGCTCAAGCTGTTCTCAAATTCCTGGGCTCCAGTGACTCTCTTGCTTTAGCCTCCTGAGTAGCTTTAACTACAGGTGGATGCCACCATACTCATCATTCACCTTATTTTTAGATCATTTTCATGTAAGTAAGAAAGTGGTATTAACATGATAAATCTGAACTTATTTCATAATAAACAGAATGAAATACTATATTATAAAAGCAATCTTCCTAAGACATCTGTTTCCCCTTCTCTTTAAAATTCAATTTAAATCATGAGAAAATACATAATCTAAATTAATTTCAAATAGCCTTTCTGCAGTCTTATTTAGAATTTGTATGTTTCCTGTTATGGGTGCCAAATAGGAAATCTACTTACACCATCCTTTTAACTATTCATATAAGGAAACAAAATACAAACAGATTAATAGATTAGCAGAAAAGAAACGGAGAGGAAAAAGTAGTTTCATGGTACCTGATATGTTACAAATATAACCTTGTTTTGGATTTATTTGGAAACCTAACTTGTTCTCCACAGCAAAGTGCTTATCTTCAAATAGGATGTAAAAAGAAGGGTCCTGATAACTTCCTAATTGCAAAAGAAAAGCACATGGTAGCTTAGTTTCTATGGGAAAGGGTCACACTCAAACAGAATTAATAATCCAGGTCTGAATTCTCTATAAGGGATTATGAAAACTCAATTTTAAGAAATTTAGTAAAAGCACACACTGACACCATACACGTGCTTTAATACAGAGAAGGTGGCAACAGTTTGAGGAAGATGACCACTTTAATAGCTGGTAATAGCTGTTTGTTTCCTCTCTAAAGAAAAGCTGCCTTTAAAGTTTTTGTTTGTTGGTTGGTTGGTTGGTTGGCACTGGAGCTCTAACTTAGGGCCTTGTGCTTGCCAGGCAGGCACTGTGCTGCTGAGCTACATCCCTGGCTGCCTTTATAGTTTTAAAAGCATTGTGCAAACTTAAATTTTTAAGTCATAAATATTTAGGGGGTTGGAGGTGTAGCTCAGTAGTATAGTATTTGCCTAGCATGCACAAGGCCCTGGATTTTTTCCCTAACACACACACACACACACACACACACACTACATTTTCTGCCCAAAAAGTGTATACATCAGGAAAACAAAAGCTTTTATAAGTATTTTAATACTAAATTTATTGAGACATCATGAGATTAATATGTTACCTTTGGCCCTTGCAATGACAAGAGATGCTCAAAGTAGTGGCCGTTAGCTTCCAGATAATTATTAGTAAAGTGAACTGCTGTACATCTTTTTGGTGGACTCTGTATGAATGATGGCACTAGGGCCACCTTAGACCATAAAGGCACAAGGATAACCTGGTAAATTGCTAAAACCCTAACTCCCTTACTGGGCTTCTCTAAAACAAAAATTTTAAAACCCATCAACAGACCTGTGTGATGTTGGACAGATCCATTGCCCACCTTCATGAACATTCGGGAAGATGCTAAATCAAAGATGTTTGTTTCTGATCACCAAGTACAATTTCCCTCTTGGGAGGCTATTAGGCTGCTCTGAATTTGTAATTTCCTTGAATCACTGTCACTTTTAATAGGTATGTGTCTTGCCAGACTATGCTCACTTCATTCTGACAGTGACAGAAAGCTTGCTAATGAAGTAGTTTGACCAGTTTCTTAAAGTCTGAAGAAAGAAAAAAAACTGCATTTAAAAGGCTGCATATTATATATAATGTAGTTCACTAAATAATAAATTCAAGAATTGTCATTTTTGCTTTGATAGCTCTAAAAACCACTACTGATAGAGGAGCTTCACTCATTTGCTTTGCCCTTTCGTCTTCATTTACCTGTCAGGTTGAATAGAAGAGAGCACAAAGACAAGGAGAACGACATCCAGAATCCCTTCTGGGAAAGGGTAGGGTGAGCCATCATCACACACATCATGAACAAAGGCAGAACACTGGGCGGCTCTGTAGGACGAGTGCGACTGCCATTATCAAGGAACACAAAGCCAAAAATAGGAGTTAGTAGAATTCCCAGATTTTTTAACATAAAAAGGTCACAATTTTTACTTTTTCTCCCAAGAGCCTGTCCTCTAAATCTAAATGGACTTTCTTTCCAGTTCATTATTCTTTAGCTTATTTCAGGCTGCCCTAAAAATGAAGTCTAACACTAAGACCTGGTGACAAATATTCTTTACAGTTCCTGTGCAGACTGAAAAGCTGAGTAGGGAAGCTGTGCAAGTCAGAGGCAGTGCCGCTGCCTGCCCTGCCTGGTTTCAGAGTCACGGCCGTGGTCCTTGATTCTTCTACTGCTTTCTCCACATTACCTATACTTCAAAATACAAATGGCTTACACTACATAATCAAAATTAGATCATGCAGATGGTTGCACAACTATGCAAATACATTAAATGAGATGGTATGTGAACTGTTTCAATAAGGCTATAATTTAAAAACTTGCACTAAAGTAACACACAATCTACCTACAGAAACATCAGAGGAAAATATATCAACATATTAACATCGATTCACCTTTAGAAGTGTGATTACAGGTATATTTCTCTTCCTCTTTAGGTTTTTTATTATTTTAGAAAATGTATGCAATGAATCACTCTTATCAGAAATTAAATTGTACTTAATTTTTTAAATATTTTACTTAATTTATGTGTTTACTATATGTTTTCCATTTGCTACAATCATCTTTTCATTCTATGGCAGAGCTCATTAGCATTCAAGATTTGTGCAACAAGCCCGGGTTCTGCCCTGTTTTCCTTATAGTCTAAGACATTTTAAATTTGCATCAAATGTTTTCCCAGATTATTTTTTCTGCAATACTGGGGATTGAACCCAAGGTCTTCACACTGACTTATATCCCCAGTGCTTATTATTTTTTGAGAAAGGATCCAGCTAAGCCACTAAGTTGCCCAGGCAGGGCCCAAACTTGAAATCCTCAGCCATTCAGAGTACCAGGATTACAGGTTGTGCACCACCATGCATAGCTTTCCAGATTTGTTTTGTTTTTTGAGTCAGGGTCTTGCTACGGAGTTCATGCTGGCCTTGAATTTACCATGTAGCATAGGCTGGTCTCAAACTTTGGTTATCTTCCTGCCTTCAACCTCCCAAGTGCCCCAGATTTTCTTATTTAAAAAAATTTTAATTTAATGAGTGCTTACCACGTTCAGACAATGTAATGTGTAAGGCTTTAGTGATCCAAATATGAATAAGATCTTCTTATAGGACTTAATCAAACATTTAATTTTGGGGGTGGGTAGTTTTTTTACCCATCTGAAGATCCTAATTTTAACTTAAGTTGTTTGGAGCAAGGCTAGCCACGGGCAGGTGTAAAGCCTGAATTTTGTATGTCAGTGCCTTCCTGTTCATCCCTGTACAGTGCTGACCGTTCTAGGTTTCCTAATTCCTCAAGAACTCCAACATCCAAAACAATTGCTATTGTTTTAGTGCAATTAATATCTTAGGCATCAGTTGCTGTTGATATTCTTAGAAATTATAAAAGTTTCGTTAAAAATGACTAGCAATAACATCTGATCCAGAAACATCAAAATGATCACTTTACAAGCAAATAAATTATTTTCATATAGATCCTCTTTAAAGGAAATACAAAGCATACCTTTATAAGTTCCAGAGCTCCAGGGGCAAAATCACAACAGTAAAGGAAGGATTCTGGAGTGTTCCTGTGAAAATGTAAGAAAGATTTAAATCTACAGTTCAGGCTTGTTTAAACTAGAGAAAAAAGGGAACTGCAGATATAACTTGTTGGTTAAGTATTTCTTTAGTAGAATTTTGGACAGAATTTTAGAAGAATTTCGCTTCTTTTTGAGTATCGTTTTCTGGGCTGATGCACGAGTACTCTTCTAAACCAGTACTGTCTCGATTACTTCCCAATTACAGTTAACTCCAGCCCTAATTTTATGGCCCTCCTGCACTTGGTCCTTTCTGCCTTGTATTGCATCACACTTCATTAGGGAAATCTCCAAGGCCATGCTCACACACTACTCCATTGGCCTCCTTTCTTAGAAAGGATCTCCACCAAGCTGTCCTGCCTCTTAGCTTAGCTAAGCTGTACTCTTCTCTGAGGATTCCCTGATTTCTGTGTCCCTTCATTCCTCTTTCTTTCTGTCCAACTCATTTGGTTCTTAGGCCTTTCACAGGATCTGCTGCTCTAGCAGAGAAGACACACACACTTACAGACTTATGAGGGATCACTATGCTTGTTGTCTAGGCAGGACTTGAACTCCTGAGCTCAAGGAATCCTCCTGTCTTAGCCTCCCGAATAGCTGGCACTACAGGCATGACCCACTGCACCCAGCCCACATATATTTTTTATTAGAATACAAAGTAGTAAATAAAATTGTCTAATACACAGTAAGGATAACATACAGAACAAATAAATCTGTTTTGGAAACCTGGATTGACATTTATAAACTATGAATTTGACTTAACTTCTTTAAGACTCAGTTGCTTTACTCACAAATAGGTAAAGAAATTCAATTTTGTTTTTCAGGGGAGTGTTTATTCATTTGAAAATCTTAACTAATTTTAATTAGTTTCTTCCAAAATTAAACATGTTCTATTTAGTCTTTTGAATTTGGTAACAATGCTGGTCCCTGGTTATTCATGGTCAGGCACATGCTTTAAGTTCTGTGGTCAGTGTCTTTCCTGATCATTCTCTGTATGCTGCTGTCAAGTAACCCTTTCCTCATATTGCACAGAATCATTTCTCAATCACATTGAGCATTCAGTATGACATTAACTAGTAGTTTAAGTATGGCCCTGACTCTTGTGGATTTTATAGTAGCCTCGAGAACATGCTTAGTTTTATACAACTTTTATAGGAGTGTGAAGGACAGCACCCTAAGAGGTAAGTCCTCCAAGTTTTGAAGGAAAGGGTGGCACTGCCCAGTGAGGGGAGGAAGCATGAGGGATTAGAGTTGAGAGCTGCAAGCCAGCTATGAGAAACAGAACTGACCCTGAGAGCTCACAGTGGTATGTGGCAGGACATACAGCAGGCCTTGAGGAATAAAATTAGGACCTCTAATTTGATTCAAGAGGCATTTCAAGCAAAGTGGACTTCTGAATAAATATCCAATATAAACACAGATATGATTTAACAAAAATCTCACCTAGGATCTTAAAGGCAACTCACTGATGCACATTATATTCATATATACTTCATTCATTCTGTGAGTGGAGGGACTTGCATTTGATTTAAGAATTGTCTAAACAAATTACAGTATGAATAGGACTTGATGATGAAAAATTAACCATTACAGAGTCCAAGTTCGGACTGCTTGGGTTTTTTTCATCAGTCTCATTAAAACCACTACTTTATTCCAGCATATACCCCTGCTGTTTCCCATGGTACCAATATAACTGTGACTTGTAAGTTGCTGGGTGGCCACACGTGTTTGAAATGTTCTCAGTTATCACTCAGGTGCACACAGCATTACATGGCATAATGGCTAAGGACAGGGCTCTGCAGACAGACTGCTGAAGGTTTGATTCCTGGTGCTACCATTTAGTCATGTGATTGAGAGAAAAATACTCTCTTTATACTTCTGTTTCCTTGTCTTTGAAATACAGAAATTCATAACACCTAAGGTGGTTGTTAGGACTGAATGAATTCACATAGTAAAGTGTCTAGAAAGTTGACTGATTCACAGTAAGCACTCAATAAATGTTAGTTCATTATTATAACTTATTATTCCTATTAAAGGAGATCTCTGCCTTCCAGCAACTTAAAAACTAACATGTCCTCTAAAACCCTGTACATAACTCAGAATGCTTTTGTGGAACCTGCTACATGTAGCTTATTATAGAAAGTCTGCAGTTTACCTCTGGGTACTGAGTACCAACCAGACCCAGAGCAGTCTAGTAGGGAAACCATGTGCCATTTGCCATGTGTCCTGCCAGGGTGGCAGTATGACCTCTGAGACAGAGTTCCCACTGCATCAGCAGCCCATGCTAAAGTCTTATGACCACCCAACGACTTTCCAGAGCCTTTCTGTAAAATCAGCTGACTGCCTTGGCTCTCCTCCCAGCAAACAGGTGTAAATACCACTACTACCACCACACCACCAAACACTCTCTTGGCAGGGGGTTTAAGAATTAAATGATCCTTGGAGAATGATCTGACCTCTCCATTCCAGAGGCCTAATTATGGTAAAATATTCTGAAAATGTAAAAATATTAATCGTGTACTCTCCAAAAGCAATAAAACATAATTTCTTGGGTGGGGAAGTCTATTCCTGTATTTGGAAGGCTAATCAATGGTTGCTTTTTAAAGTGAATTAATTATCTCGTTATTATCGGTCTCCTATGATTTCTAAAACATGACAAAAAAAGACACGAGTCAAGAAAAAAGTCCTAAGTGAGAAGCCAAGGGCATACATTATTAGTTGGAGGGAGAAGTAGAGAGGGAAAAGTACACCTAACAAGTGAGCAATCCGAGATTAAACAGCCAATGCAGTTTGGGCTCTATCTACGTTATACTGCTCAGCCACCTGGAAAATCAGATTAGGATAAAATATGCTCTCTACCTTAGTGAATATGAGAAGTGGCTGGAGAGGCAAGGGATAAAGAAATGAAATGCTAAACAATACCTTGAGATTAGCCATAAAGTTACATGTAACAATTGCCAATGTAGGTATACATGTATACTAGAAGTTCATTTATCACTGGGGTAAAGGAACCTGGCTACTTGGTATGAGGGAACAGAACATTTTAGCTCAGAAACTGGGAAAGGGAAAACAAAGATAAAAAACATTGAAAAAGAAAGGCCACTCAGAATTGTAAACATCATCTGGGCCTGGATACTTTTACTGGTTATTAGAAAATATTATGGAATCATTATTTGTTATGTTAGGTTTATAAAAGTATTTGAGAATGTCCTAATATTTTGGAAATGATTCCTTTATAATCAAAGATAAAAGTGTCATGATGCTGACATTACATCAAAATTGTTGAATCAAGGTGGAGGGCTTATGGAATTTTTTTTTTTTTTAAGATAGGGTCTTGCTATGTAGTTCAGGCTGTCCTTGAACTCACTATGTAGCCCAGACTGGCCTCAAACTTGTGACAATTCTCTTGCCTCATCCTCCCAAGGCTGCACCACCTCACCCAGCAATTTATGGAAATTTATTGTACTATCTGCCTTTTCAAACGCATTTACATGCAAAACTTAAAAGATCATGTTAAAACATTAAAAAAAATTGTGAAGAGAATGAAAACTCCATCAGTGGCTAGGTTAGGATAAGGGGAATAATGGGTAATTTTCCCACCAACTCTTTCCTCCAGTGGAAATGTTCTGCAATGTGCTCATGCTGACTTTATAAGAGAAAAATGACATGAAAGCTATCGTATCTTACAAAAAGAAAAGAATCTGACACATCAGCATAGGTAAAAGTTGTTTGGAGAGTTTTATGAGGTGTGTCATTTTCGTCGTGCAAACTCTAAAACAGAGGTGAGATGGTGAACAGGAAGTGTATATCAAGAAAACATCATTTATTTCTACTCTTTTGAGTTTTAGGGTTAGTTACTGACACTTCCAAACAATTTCAATGCTAGATACCATGATCTGACACTCAAAGGTCTGTTTTGCTTGTTTTCTTGAAATAGGGTCTTCCTGTGTAGTTCAGGCTGGCCTTGAACTTACTATGCAGCCTAGGCCAGCCTGGAACTCACAGGTAGCCTCCTGCCTCAGCCTTTCTGGGCGTTAATCCAGAAATGATGACAAAATAAAATTAGGATTAAAATATAAGTGTTAAACTCAGTTTTCCATGTGTAAAATGACATCCAAGTATCCAGGAGGAACAAACAGCCCCTGAAATTGGCAACTCACAGCCTAATGAAAGGAAGAAACCTCTTGCTTTTTTCTTATTCTCTCACCCACTTAAATACAACCTTAAAAGAATACTTGAATCTCAAGGTGGACAATCCATGGTTCAGAAGCACCATCTTCAGAGAAATTCCGAGTTCACATGAAATTAGCACTAAGACTGAGATGCTTCTTTTGAAATGTGCTTTAGTCATTGTTTATGGGAATCTAAAACACTACTGGAGTATACATGATAACATATTTCCAAAATTTCTCAACATCCCTTAAATATATAAAATTATGTAGGAGAAAATACTGATACTTACTGCAAGATGTTCAAAATTGGAAAAACACTATTTCCAGCACCACAGCCAACCTAAAATCAAGAGATTAAACAAATATCATGAATGCATTAAAGTTTCCTCACAATATCAGATTTTCTATTTTAAAAATTTTTACTGCAACTCTAGGTATGGTAGAGCTTTCTAATTCAAAAGCAATGAGATAAATCACAGGAACACTGAATAATCTGACTATGGAAACATTTAAAATTCTTACGTACCCAAACCCCAAATAAATTTAAAAGGTGACCAACACACTGAGAAAAAAATTGTGATAAATATGATAAAAGGTAGGGGTCATTAAAAAAACAAAGGAAATAAATGGACAGAATTACAAAAGAAGTACAAATGGTTTCTAAACATTAAAGAAAGATGGGACCTATGTAGTAATCAAAGAGATGCAAATGAAAAAGGTTCAATATTTGTCTAACAAAGTGGAAAACTCTAAAATACTTCAAGAATTTTCCAACTAATGAGTATGATGCAACAGAAATATACTAGTATTGACACAACTTCCAAGCAAGTAATTTGGCAATGTTTTAAGAGTATTAAAATTTTTCATAAATTATAAACTAGTAAAGCTGACCTGACAATAAAAGAAAATGCAGCTATACTCAAAGACATATGTGACCAAAAACTTGAAAACAATGTAAATGCCCAGTAGTATGGGAATAGATCATGAAATTATGGCATTCCATATGGTAAAATATTTTAGTCATTTATAGAGAATTTTTAAAGAGAAGGAAAATTTCCTATGATATAATGTTAAAAAGAAAAAGAAAACCCCAAATAAAATCCACAATATAAATACAATATAAACAAAAGGAGAAAAAAGTAAAATGTTTAAAAAAAGAAAGACAACAGGAAAAAAAAAGGGCCAGAAATTTAGCTCAGTGGTTCCACCACCTGCCTTGCAAGCGAAAGGTTCAAAGTTCGATCCCAGGTACCAAGAAAAAAAAGACAAGAGAAAAAAGTAAAATGTTAACTGTGGTTAAATCCTTTGTTTATAGAACTGTGGATAATTTCTCTTGTCTGCTTTTTTGCAAATTCTCTATAAGCAATATACATTAGCTTTATATTCAGAAAGACAGAGTTTAGTTTCAAAAATAGAAAACCAAGCTCTACACTAGATTATAAAAAATTAATTATATACATCTCACTTACTGCTATTTCATCTAAAAAGTGGTAATAACAGAGAGTAAAAATTTAGACCAAAACTTTATCAGTACTCAAAACTGCCCTCAAAGTAGAAATGAAAGGAGACAAATTAAAAGAAAAAAAAGCAACAAATTAAAACCATAAAATTAAAACTTGTCTTGATTGAAGATCTGAGGTCCTTTAATATTATTTGTGTAAAAATATAGTGTGCATCAAATTTGATCATTTTTCACTTAACGCAATCTGGACCATAGCAAACTAAAGTGGAATACAGATTTAAAATGTTTGTTGCTCCCTGCCTTCGTTCCTTAAGTACAGTACCTCTAATATTCTGAAAGTAGCACTGCTACCAGGAAACAGTTCAGTCTTCAGTAATCTTTTTTCATGCTCTTCAGAGTCTAGGCTGGGACGACCAGACTCTCCTTTGCTTTGACCATCTGATGACCCAGAACTTTTCTCATCATGGTTTTTTACTTCTGGCATTCTTGAGAAACAGTTTGCAGCATTAGTTTCTATGAGATCCCTCAATGGTTCTCCCATCTTCTCTTCAGTTTTTATTTCAACTGGAAGAATTTCAGGAAATTCCCTCAACAACCAATTACGATTCTTGAAAAACTTATTCTTATGAATCTTGTAAAATGTGTCCCAGTATTTACTAGCTTCACTTTCATATTTAACTAAAATAAAGAGAAAAAAAATCATTTTACTATGAATTCTATTTACTATTAGATACTATTTTGATAACTAAATTTAATTAAATATTTCAAATGTATTAATATATTATCAACAATTATATTTAATATTAACTTCACTATTATAGTAATTTTATTTATCTGATAAAAGTTTCAAAGTACAGAGGTTTAATTTCCTTGAAAATGTCTCTTGCTGGACATTGTAGAACATGCCTGTAATCCCAACACTTACGGGAGGCTCAGGCATGAGGATCACTACAAGTTCTAGGCCAGTCTAGGCTACATAATGAGTTCAAGGCCAGCCTGGACTACCCTATCTCAGAAAAAAAAAAAAGTTTCTATGTGTGGGATATGTAGTCCTAGCCCCACAAGTCTGTCTTTATATATTGGCCAATCAATTTTTGTGAGGAATATAACCACTGTGAACTACTTTCTATAGTTTAAATCATGGCATCTAATTTTCCTCAATAATTCATGTGCCTTTTTATTATCTCACACAAAGTATACCTTATTTTTTAAATCTCTGCAAATACAGTTGAATTTTGAAAAATGTGCAAATTGGTGATCAGAAAGAAATTTGCAGAATTAGAAAAGACATGATTTTATTTATTTACTTTTGGTACCAGGGATGGAACTTGGGACCTTGTACTTATAAGTCAGGCAGCGGAACCACTGAGCTCAATCCTTGGCCCTAATGACATAATTTTAGAGCTAGAAGATTATTGAAAACAGTCTACTTCAAGTCCCTTGTTTTACATTTGAAGAACCTGAACTCATTTGTTCCTGGATCTAGAGCCCCAGTCCCAAAGGAACCAGGTGAAGTCTCCTGACTCTTGAAGCACAGGGGACTCATAAGTATTCTCCCCCAACTTCCAAGGCGTTTTTTCACTACTGACTTTTAATATGAAACCTTGAGAATTACTGATGCTCTCTTAAAACAGACAAGCACTTTGTGATGTCTTCACTAGCCAAGGCCAGAGTTAGATTATTTGTATCAAAGCTTCAGTCAGTTCTTAACCTTCCTTCCGCCTCTTCCTATCTGTACTTTACAATAATAATCCACTCTTTCCTTCATTCATCCAATGTTCATTGGCTCCTACTATGTAAAAGGCTAATCCCTGGACCTAATCTATAGATTGAGAATTACTTTCACTCAGTGCAGACCCGTGACATTTCTAAAGTACTTTCAAAAAATGCAAAAGCTATCTAATGAATATAGAATAATTTCCAAGATTTGGTGTTGGAATGAGGAAGGAAGGTATACAACAGCATATATATTATTCAGCTATTCATTGAGGAGAGGAGGAAAAATATGTGTATACACACAGAAACGTGTGTGTGTGTGTGTGTGTGTGTGTGCATGCGTGTGTATGACCACAGTGTAGAAAACATCTCTTATAGGATAATCTCCTAATTAGTGACACTGAGTGCCTCTCAGGAGGGGGATGGAGCAGCTGGGGGCCGCAGTTTGAAGAAGTGTTTTGATTTGAGCTATGACCATGTGAATGTCCTACTGTTTCTAAAACCGAATTAAAACCAGAACAAAAATGAGCATTTCTCTGATAATTTTACAGAAGCCTCTACCTTCAGAACAACTGGTTGCCTGCAATCACATTCACTTTTGTTACAGAGCCCTGTCCTGAAGCCCTTATAGCTTTCTTTTCCTTCTTTCCATTTTCATCCTTATGGCCTTGTACCATAGATCTCCAACCACGTAGCCAGAAGACTTTCTTCCCATCAAAGCTGAGTTATATCTAGCAGCAGCACTGCTATAATGACAGAAACTCCCATCTGTATTGAAGGTCTGAGAAATGAAAGTGGGTATCTATAACAAAAGAATTATGTGATGTTAAGTCCAAAACATGTTTTGCACTCTAGAAGGAAGTCTATTTATGGTTTATCTAAAAATGTATATTTACTTTGAAAATAGTGTTACCTTTACTTATAACAATTGGAATATACTATATTAAAAAAAAAACAAAACAACATTCTGAAATTAGATTCAGGAGAAATCAGAAAGCTGCCAAATTTTCTAAGGGCTTCTTGAACAGTCTTTTCTTCCTTTACCTTAAAACCTCTCTTTGTAACTCACTCTGGGCAGGTAAAAGATTTTCAGCCTGATAAAAAGCAGCCAGAAGACCTACATTTAGAGATAAGAAGGCCTAATATAGTCAAATCTCTAGTATTCGGATTTCCAATAGTAAGGTACTTGTGAAGTGAATTTGAGCCTAATAACTAGTAAGTAGAATTTAATGTTATACCTTGGTTAATTTGTGGGTATAGACCCTTAACGATTAATCAGCAGTATTGTAGGGAATGCAAGGGAGTAACATGATTTTTAAAACGTGCATAGCAGTTCTACACATAAAAGAAAAATAATAGCTGCGAAGTGGCACACACCTGCAATCCCTGCACTCAGGAGACTGAAGCAGGAGGATCATAAAGAGTTCAAGGCCAGCCTGGGCTACTCAGTGAGTTCAAGAAGAGCCTGAACTACTTAGTGAGACCCTGTCTCAAGATACCAAAAAAAAAAGCAAAAAAAAATACTTAGCCATAAAGAATGAGAAACTAGTCATTCATAGGAAAACGGATGTATATTGAGGCCATACTCTTAAGTGAAATAAATAGGACACACGTGTAAATACCAAATAATTCCTCTGGTGTGCAAAACTAAAAGTATAAGTAAGATCCAAATTGTATAACTGATAATGTGAAATAGGAAGAAAAGGGCTAATGGTATAGAAGAAGTGGGAAGGGTAAGGGAAAGGAAACAAGGGAAAAAAATATGAGAAAAGGAAAAAATAGAAACAAAGTCTTTGTAAATAGGGGAGGGTGGAGGGGGTGAAAGGAGTGCAGGGGTAAGGGGAAAAAATGAGAACCAAGATCTGTCATGTAAAGGTACAAGATCCCAATGATGAATGTTTGTTACTGAACTGTATACTTAAAATGTACCAATAAACTCAACGAGGAAAAAAGAAAGGAAGGAAAAAAGTAGTAAATAACTCAAATCCCCAACAACATGAGAATGAGCAAGCAAACAATGCATGTTGAAACAAGGTAAACATATATCAATTTAAAAACAAAGGATGATAAGAGAAAACATTCACACAATAGTAAAGACACTAATGATACCTCTAAAATTTCTACTCCTTTATAAAAATCATAAAAAAATCTGGAGGAATGATAACAAATAATGATTAATTGATAGTTCTTTCCTGTCTCTACACAAAAATAAAGAATCTTGGCTGAATTCTTCATCTTGCCTACAGAATTTCCTTACTTGGTGAGGAGAATGAATTAGAATTATCTCTACAGTCTGTCTAAGCTCTAAAAATTCTATGCATTTTCCTATTATACACCATGAGCCTGTAGAGTCAAACAGTATCAGTTCTGCAAACTATACAATCTTAGGTGAGATTTCTGTTTTAAACATGAGCCCACACTACTGTTCTAATTTTCATAATTTATAAAGAAAACTAATCTATAGTGATGTTAACTGCAATCTGGATCAGATAACAAATATATTAGGTATCTAAATTCAACTTTAGCCAAAGCAATCTTTATTTAACAAGGACTTGATTACGTGTAGATGACAATAGTCAAAGTATGCTAATATATCTATACTTTCAAGCCATTTTCAAGTAATTCTCATTCAAAAACTGAGAAAAAGAGCTGGGTGTGGCACATGCCTGTAATCCCAGCACTTGGGAGGCTGAGGCAGGAGGATGGCTGTTAGTTCGAGACCAGCCTGGGCTACATAGTGAGTTCCAGGTTAGTCTCAACTATACAGTGAGACCCTGTCTCAAAAAACCAAATAAAAAACCAAAAAACAAAAACGGAGAAAAATAATCAAAAAATTACACAATCATTTTGCCAGTAACAGCAGCATTAAAAATAACAACATGTTGGATGTTTATTATGTGTTAAGCATTATGTCAAATGCTTGACTTGGATTTTTTCCCATTTAATGCTATTAATATCACTTAGAAAATGTTATTTCAATTTACAGATTAAAAAAAATTCAAGGTGAGAAAGGTTAAAGCTTTCCCCCAAAGTCACCCTGTTAGAAAGGACAGAGTCAGAACCTAGACCATGTCTATCACACTCTAAAGCCTGTGCTCTCAACCATTCACGACGCCATCTTCCTACACAAAGTCAATATGAACCCCCACCACAATCTCTCTGAAAGCCACTTATTTTTCTGATTCTTACTTCCCTTTCAGTTATGAAGCATCAAGTTGAAATTGAAACTTCGATGTGACTTATCAGTATAAGTAAACTGTCAAAATAATGCTGGCTGGAGTTAACTTTCATTAGAACAGTTCAGAAACAAAGAATTAAATACTGTTCTTTGAATTATATAAAACATAACCATGCAAGATTATGTGATGCAATTATGATGTGTGATAGAATTAAAATGCTGTGAGAACAAGAGCACCTTGGTCACAGATGAAACAGAGAAGTAGCTGCATAAATGGGTTAAAATGTGTGTGGTCTTTTAAAAGAAGTGGTTTCATCAGTATCTCCAATCAATGCTGGCCATTTCATAGATCCCAGTCCTGTGACAGCTTCTGAGGACCCAGAGAAGCTTAATCAAACTTGTCATAATGATGAGCATGAAACAACACTTTCAGTATATGACTTAATATCCTGAACTGCATGAATATCTGTGATCACAGCAGATATGGAGGAATTAACTCTCTGACCTAGAGTGAAAAAAAAGTCTCAACTGTTGTTAACTCACTACAAGCTCAGGTCAATAATGATAAAAAGATATAGTATGGAGGAATGTGTACTGTCTTGATCTTGTCTGACTGCCTAACAGATACATGAATCATTAATTTTTCTTAGAGGAATTTTTTTTCTTTTTGAAGCTGCCAATTCAGAAATAATTGCTCTATGTCAATGGCAGTAAAAGGGATTTAGTGATCTGTTTAACCATAGCCAGATGAAGCAATTTCTCAAATTTTCACTTATTAAATTCAATAATGCTGAGGGGAAGAAAAATGGCACACTAACACTACTTAAATATTCAGAATTCCCTCTGAATCACCCTGAGTATCATAACTAAAAAAGTGAATTAAACCATTTATGTATCTGGCATATATGATATGATTAATATGAATTATGAAAATTTATTCTAAGTTGCCATGTAACAAAAAGCAATTTGAAGTTATTTTTGCACATCAATTACGCAAATACCTGAGCTTTCAAAGTTGGAAATTTCCTCATGTCACTGATTAAGTTCACTGTCTAATAAAAGAAAACTCTTAAAATTACAACATTAAAAGTACATTGCTAAAGCACTGCATGAAAATTTAAGCAGCCAAAGCTATGTTATAAATGAGTACCCTGTATTTATCAGTACAAAAATTTAATCTATTTTTTCTACACAGGATATTCTTGTAAGTGGTAAGACATTCATTTACAAGGTAAAGTACAGTGAGACTTATTATTTTGCTCAATGTAAGATAACTTACCTTAGGTAGGCAGTTATTTACAAGGATATTTTAAAATGGAAATAGCTGCTGCTTTTGCTATTAAGTTTAAAAAAAAACCATTATATTTGCTATACAACCACCTGAAATATAACACACTGGAGATCCTTTTAGGAAATTATAAAATATAATCATGTTAACTCAAAAACTGCCAAATGTATCTTTCTCATTTCTGAATTAACCTGCTTTTAAAAGAAATATGAGCTATAATAAAATTGAAAAGTAATTACATAAAGGAAATGTGAAATTAAAAATCATTAATCTGGGCAATCTAATTGAAAGAAATATTGCTGAGAGCCTGGTTGCTATACATTTTAATCACAGAAATGAGATGTCAGCCCGGCTGCAGCAAGACTATTAGTTGTGATGTGTAAGTTCTCATTTTCAGATTCTGAGTGTGTTTCCTCACTTGGTTTTCAACAATAGCTAAGACAACAGGTAAATAATGGGAAAGGAGAATGACAAGAGAGCAAGTTATGCAGAGAACAAAAGCAACACGCTGGAGTTGGCCGGCACAGGAGAACAACCTGTATTTCCTCTCAGTGACATTAATGGAGATGAGGTCAATGAACAGTGTGCCTGCTATTTAATGATCTGCATATGGAATATTTTGTGATGAGAGAAAGGTGGCTCTTTCATAGGCTTAGGCTTCTCCTAGATAAGATGGTGATTAACAGAGGTGCTGGCAGAAGAGCTAGGTCAAGACCTCCTTTAGGTTCTCACAAGGTGTAGAAGCAGAGCTTTCAAATGACCTATTTACCTTGATCCATGTTCATCAGAAGCCTCACCCTGGGTTTCTGAAGACTGGTAAATCTACAATCCTTAGCAGAAACTGTACTGAGTGGCTCTCACTGTAATGTCTTGTCCCTTAACACAGTTCTTCAGAACACAAATTTTCATTTTTTGCCACCCTGCTGGCAACCTTGCTTTAAGAGCAACAAAGTGGTCACTTTATAATGTGTTCCCTCTCTTGCAGTGGCCCTCTGACACACATGAAGTCCACTATACTGAGCAGTGTTATAGGGATACAGAGGGGCTCCAGCAGAAACCTCTGCCTCTTGGAGTCAATTTGAAATGGAATCTTTTGTTCTGTGTCTTTATAGCAGCCAGAAATGTTCCTCAGAAAAAGACTAGACTTACTAATAAGCAAATCAAATGCCTCAGAGGGGTAGCATCAGCCCTCTCCTGCTTGCCTTTCCTGCTTCTATAGACAGGCCAGTCACCACCTTTCTATTTCAGTCACCCTATGGTTCTGTGGGAACTGTCATTTTCTTTTTCTGTGGTTTCTGAGGCCCTAAAAATAACCTTCTCATTAGCTTCACTCAAGTTCATTGTTAACGTAAATAGGACAAAATAGGCAGTCATGTACAGTGCACTTTAAGAGAACATTATCAGCTCTGCTCATCTACAAGTATTTATGCTCTGAACAGAAATATTAAAAACAGGGTGAAAAAATCCTTGGTTTTTCATATTATCAGGAAATATACTGTCAATAATTTTAACTTCGTGGAAATCAATTAAAATGCCTGGTAACTTTTAATTCAGTTTAGACTTGACTTTGTCACATCCAGGTGGCCACTAGCAGAAGCTTGAGTAATGTGGAAAATATGTCTGTGCAGCTGCTGGCAAAGAAGCGAAGTTACACTTCCTCAGAAACTGTGTGACAGAGTTCTTGCAAAGGAATGCAATGTTGGCTGATTTGTAGGCAGTACTGCCAGTGGTATGCACCCTCAAATCCAACCCTAATTCTCGCTGGCCTTTTCCATTCTGGAACTGCATGGCTGGAGCCTGTAAAAACAGAAAGATCCCACTGCGGATCAGGTGCTCTTCTCTCTTGTCCATCCCCCAGGACACACTAATGCTTAGGCTAAGGAAAGAGAACTGTGTCTAAGGAATAGCGAATGTTGCCAGAGGATATGAGGTTATCAAGGTATCAGAGCATGGGTTAGCACTGCTCCCTTCACTGGGTAAGAGCCCCTAACGAGCGTTTTCTTACTAGTTTAGTCTCCCCTAATGTCTCTGCTTCAAACTTCAGTCTTCATTGTAAGCTAAAGTCTTTAGAACAACAGCAAACTACCAGTGGATTAGTCATTTTCACCATTCTTCGCTTACACAGAGCAATGCAAACCTTTTTCCCTGGGGAGTTTCAGCATAGCTAATCAATCTAGGAATAAATATATAAACAAACACCAGTAAGTATTTTAGTTTTTGTGAGACCATAGAGTCTCTGTTGCAATTGCTTGATTCTGTACTTGTGTCTGTGTTCCAATAAAACTTTATTTATAAAAACAGGCAGCAGGCTAGATTTGGCCCATAGGCTCTAGTTTAATGGTTTCTGCTTTACTCACAGGTTACAGAGACATTCCTATAAGGATAACAGAAAAAAGACAAGGAATGGTACAAAGGTACTGTGGCAAACTAATCTATGGCATCAAAAGCTGGAACAGGGGTTGCTTTTTATGAGGTGTGAGGGGTCCAAGGAGTACTGTAATTAGAAATGAACATAAGGAAGCTACTAGATTATTGGTAATATTCTGTATCTTAATGTGGGTGTTGTTCACACAGATGTATTCAATTTGTAAAAAGTCCCTGAACTTTGTAAGGATTCAGTTTTCAATTGTATAAATTTGTCTATTTGGTCCTTCAATAAATTAATTAATTTTTAAAAAGAAAAAAAGAACCAGTATGTTCTGAGCAAGAAGTAGTTTTAAGAAAAATAAGGTGGTAAATCTCATATAGGAGTTGGCACAGTGTCTCTGGGTTCTTAGATATGTACAGAGAAAGACATAGGCTTCTTTTCTTGTTTCTTCTTTTTAGGGGATGTATGTAAGCTTTTTTAATATACTGTAGCAAAAAACACATAGTATAAAATTTAACATTTTAAGCATTTTTAAGCCTACAGTTGAGTAGTGCTTTCACATTGCTGTGAGGCAGCTCCAGAATGTTTCCATCTTGCCAAACTATAACTTGAAACCCACTAAATAACTCCTTCTCCCCCTGCCCCTTAGTCCATGGCAACCACTGTTCCACTGTATCTGTGAATTTCACTATATTAGGTATCATAAAAGTGGTATCACACAGTAGTTACTTGTTTTGTGATTGCCTTATTTCACTTAGCATGATGTCCTCATCTATGCTGTAATATGTGACAGGGCTTTTTTCCTTTACAGGTGGGAATAATATTCCATTTTATGTATATACCACATTTTGTTTATCCATTTATCCAGTGATGGTCATTTAGATTGCTTCTTTAGCTTATCATGAGTAGTACACTTATGAGCATGGAAATGCAAATATCTCTTTGCAATCTTGCTGTCAACTTTTTGTATACAACCCAGAAGTGAATTGCTAGATCATATGGAAGTTCTAATTTTAATTTTTTGAGGAATCTCTGTACTTTTTTCTACAGTGGCCACACCATTTTACAATCTCACCAAAAGTGCACAAGGGCTTATTCCTAAGTCTCTACGTCCTTGTCAACACTTGTTCTTTTCTGTTTTTTTGACAGTAGCACAGGCCAATTTTTTCAAAGCAATGTTGGCAAGGGCTTACCTAAATCAAAGTATAAATAAAAGGTCTCTAAGAAAAGTGCTTTCAATCCTTATTAAAATTGCATCCTAAAAGACTAGTAACATTTTGTATGACTTTATCTTCTTCATTCAAAGTTTATGAGTTTGCTTAAAGTTTCTAGCAAGTGAAATACACAATAGCATTCTGAAAGCAGTATAGCAAGAGAAAAATTTTAAAGTTAATTTTCCTATCTTGCTGAAAATGCCACCCATATGTGTACCTCCCAGAAAAGCAGTATGACCACCAAAAGACCAATTAATTATAGGGTGAATACATAATTTATTTCATTAATTTTGGTTAATGAACTGGGAATTCGACCAAGGGGAATGAGTGGATTGATTGGCTTAGACGGAAGCTAAGAACTCTCAAAAGCAATGAGACAGGAGAAGAAAAGATGAGGGTGTGACTTGAACCAGCAGATGATCAGAGAAGCTGGACTCCAGGAGCCTCCCCACATCATCGGCTACCTTGTTCTTCCTGAATGACTTGCACAGCTGAGTTTTCCTCTACTTTTTTTCTGGCATCTGCTTCTTCTTCTTTAGACCACTGCATGTGATCCCTGTTTAAAACAAAAATAAATAAATAAATAAATAGATGATAAAACACGCCTTATGACAGAAGGGAAAAAAAAAGATGGCCAGGGACTCTCTCTTTCATCCTAGATTAGGCGAATGCAAGCTATACAAACCAATGGCATATTAAGTGAATAGTTTTGTGTCATATGTAACTTCTTCAGTTCTTCTGTTGAACTCTGGTTGTGTTGCACGCTCCAGCTACCTTTGGAAATGGCTGCTGATGTAGTATCTCCAGAACACTCTGGGGCATGATTATCTGGGAGCTGGTATGGTTTGACATTTTTTACTTTATAGCTAAATTTATTTGCCTTTTAATTAATTTACAAACAAGGCACTCTTTAACAATATTTTAATGCTCCTTTTATAAAATCTGCATTCTAATACTCCGCTGTTAGAGACATGCAAGTTTTCAAATATTTTTTATTTATCTTGCAATTTTAATTTTTAAAGTATCTTTATACTTCTTATTAGCTATTTTAATTTCTGAAGAGATTCACTTTGTTTAAATGATAGAGTACATATAGAAAGATGACTTTTCTATAATGTGGCTCTTTCTGTAAGTATTTTTAAGTTTTAGAATTTATCCTCCCTATAACAGAATATACTACTCTGCGCTGCAACAGTGTCTTTCTTGTTGCCTTGCATACATGAGCCCCTGGATTCAATCCTTATCACTGAAAAAAAGATCTTAAGATGGAGGCAACTTCTATAATACAAAAAAGGCAATTTTCATTTTGGTTTTGTTTTTACAAGGTTTGCATTGCCTTTTCAGCACTGGGTTAGACTATACATGAGTAAAGCAACATCCTGAATTTTCATTTTTTGAAATAAAAAAAAAATCTCAAACACCCTACATTTAAGTTCCATAAAGCCTATTGGTAACTCTAAGAGAACAACTCGCTGTTATATGACATTTGTAGTCATCTGACTTATAACAATAGATTAGTTATAAAATTCTTGGATTTTCACGTCAGTCAACATCATGATGACTGATCAACATTAACCAATAGTTAGCATGATCATAATTATTACCATTTACTATTAATTACGTCAGACATTGTGCTAAGCACACTTCATACTTCCTTTCAGAAATCGTGTGAAGGCGTTATAATCATTCTTATTTTACATATGAAAAAACAGAAGTTTAGTAACTCACTCAAGGTCCTCCAGATGAAAGTGAAAGGCGAACTCAAACCCAGATTTATCTCATCAAAGTCCATCTCATCAGTCACTAGTTTATTACTGTCTACCAATGCAGTGGGGGAAACAGAGATGTAAGACTTACTCCTTGCCCATCCAAGGAATATATTCTTCTAATGTAGGCAGATAAACAGAGAGTAAATTGTAAGACAATGGTGCATGCACTGTTAAAACCTGACAAGTGGGACTGTTGGCAATTAACACTTGGGCTCAGGTTGGGGAAAGGTGGTGGGGCAATTACTGTTGTCCTTAAGAGACTGGCAATTAGGATAGCATATACAGGACACAATGACAAAAATCTATTTTGATTAGTTCTCTTGGGTAACTGCAGATGAGGCTGGGATTTGGGTAACAGATTTCAGAGGATTTTAAATAGCTTAAAAGACATGACAAAGCAAGGAGGGACTAGAGTGAGATGGATTAGAATGTTGTGGTAATCTGGAGTTACAGGACTAAGGTGATGGTAACTGAAAGCAGAATGGAACAGTTGGGGGAGACACTAAAAAAATTGTAGTTATGACTTGAAGATAACTAAATTTTGGAAAAGAAAGCGAGAGCTGGCAATAATCCCAAGGTCTATATTACTGAGCACAGAGGAAAGTGGGGTAACAGTGAGAGAATAAGGAGCTGCTCTGGGTGGAATGATGAGAACTTTGTTTCTATTTTAAGTTATGTTTATGCAATCAGATGTAAGAGGGTACATTACAGTGACTTAGCTATAAATACACCGCTGAAAGGCGAGAAACTCTTTTCTTTTTAAAAGGATCAAGACTGGTACACTGGATCTCCACGAAAAGCACATGGAGAATGTAAAAATCAGAGTTCCACAGATAAAAATCTAACCACTAGTATTTCTTAAAAACTGCAATCACTTAGAATCCAAATAATCATGAAACAGCTTTGTCACTCGCTTTAATGAATTAAATTAGAATAAATTTTTGGTTTTGACTTTAATATATGTAAGTAAAACCATATGAACTAGGGTGTACAACTACATATTTTCTACGTACATGATAGAAAATCAGGGGGACAATAAATTTATGTGGTCTTCAGATTTAAACATTTCTTTTAAATATTAGTTTAACATCACTTCCTAAGTTTAATAGATTTGGTTATTTCTTAAATTATCCCGACTTCCTTAAACTACTTGTTACTTCATTTTCTTAACTGTGAAGTGAAGGAAATACTATGCCCTAAGCTCCTGCAGAACAGATTTTCCCACTGTACAGTTACAGAATCCCCACAGAAAGCTATAAAATGTCCCTACTGCATTTATGGGAACTTCCTCCAGACCTACTGTTTTATGGCAGTTCTTTACACTAGAAGACTGATTTGTACAAACGGAAACCCCACAGCCAGCAGTAAGAATTATTCAAGTTTTTATAAGTAATAAATACAACAATAGAATTGAAGCACAGAGGCAACTAACTAATAAGCAAACTGAAAATAATCAGCCATTTAAAAACAAAAACCAAAGGAAAAAATAGTTCACAGTTTGGACTATGAATTGTACTTCTTGGAATCAATTGTGAAAAAATAACTCAAAGGAATAATGAAGTTCTGTACAGAAAAAGTTGTACAAAGATAAAACACTAAATATAACAGAAAATTGGAAATAACTCAGTGATAGGAAGTGAAAAGATGGTAACTCAAAGGAATATTATGCAGCCATTTAAAGTAGTAAATATGACTATTATGTAGCAATGTGAAAAAGTATTTATGAAATGAGGTTGCACACATGTCGACTTTCACAAGAAATGTAAACAGTATTATATTCATGTACTAATAAACTAAAATAAAAAACAAATAACATGAGATTAAAAAAGCAGATACCAAAACTATATATAATTACAATTGTTTAAAATTATTATAAGGGAGGGCAGAGACAAGGGGAAAAAAATGAGAACCAAGACCACCTATCATGTAAAGCTACAAGAGCCCAATAATGAATGTAACTGTTCTGTATACCTAAAATGTACCAATAAACTCAATAAAAGAAAAAATTTTTAAAAATAAAATTACATACATTGAATAAAGGCTCTAAATGGTGAAATAATAATTATTAAAATAGGGTTAAGAGATAACTGCCTTGGTTGCGATATCTGTCACCCCACTGACCACCAGGATTGATTTAGCTGATCTGACTGGCTAGGTGGGTGACCCCTTCCTCCCTCACTGCTACATGTGGGCCCCTCCCAAAGCTGAGCGCTAAGTCGGTCACAGGACAACCACCCAACAGAGGACTGTTTCCTCCATCAAGGGTTTACGAGTTGCTGTGCTCTCCTGCTAGAACCTCCAAACAAGCTCTCAATAGAGAACTATCTTTAAATTTCCTTAATATTGTAAAGATACTTCAACTAGAGATAATTTTAAAAATAAATTTTATTTTATCCCATTCCCCCGTGTCCCCTCCTCTCCCTATGTACACAGGCATTTTCATTTTTACCTATTTTCACCTTTTCTCTTGTCCCTCCTTTTCTCCTTTCCTACTCCCTTCTTCCCCTTCCCATTTAGAGATCACTTTTTCAAAAATTTATTTATATAAAATTATACTTTAAAAATAAAAGTGTTCATTAAAACTTACCCTTCTTGAGGAAAAACGTAGAAACCTGCTTTTTGTTGTTGTTGATACTGGAAATTGAACCCAGAGCCTTCATAATGAGCTACAACCCCAACCCCTCCCTTTTTTTTTCATTTTGAACAGACTCTCACTAGTCAAGAGTTGCCCAGGCTGAGCTTGAACTTGGAATCCTCCAGCCTCAACTTCCCAGGGTGTTAAGTTTATAGGTACAAGCAATCACAACCAGATCCTGCAATTTTTTTTTTTTGGATAAATTTATTACTGCAATTTGCTATATCCTACTTGAAAGAAATACATGGTCCTCCTGGTCTTTGGTAGTAGGGCTTTCATAGCAGTGTTTTATTTTTGATGAATGTTGAAAAATTACCATCAAAAATGTCTTAGCAGTATGAGCATAAAAAGCAAGTTTTATATGGCAAAACACCTAATATTGCATGCACAATGTTACTTAATATCAAAGAAAAACAGGCAACATATGTACCTGATATAACTAGTAATCATCTTGGGATACATGAAGATATCTTCTTAAAACATGAAAATCTTAACATTTGTTGATCTACAAGTTGTTTGAAAACAACCTGTCTAAAACACATATACAGCAACCTTTTAAAACGTATGCCATAATAAGAAAAACTATAATCTAACGATATCTTTTATTACAAAGAAAAGGGAGAATATGCAGTAAGAATACATATAGAATCCATCTGGAATTATTAAACAATAATACAAAACAATATACAAGAATTTATTTAGTACCTCATCACCCCCTATTAGTGAATAGAACATAATAAAACAAAAATCCCAAGAAATAAGAATAAAAAATATCTACAGAACACTCAACCAACCGGCAAATGAAGAATACATTTTAATTCGCCTATGGATCCAATATGGTGTAAAATATCTCACTGCATAATTTGACTAGAAGATATTATTAAATTCCCACCTTACTGCTCACATCAAAATACAGAATTAAGTCAGCTCAAAATTTATTCTTAAGGGTAAACCATACAGGGCTGGGGATGTAGCTCAGTGGCACCACACCTGCCTGGCAAGCCCAAGGTCCAGAATTAGATTCCTGGTACAAAAAAAAAAAAAAGAGTGAATCATACAAATACATAATCCAGAGGCCAACTTTTAGAGTGAGTTCCTCTGAGTTCCTGATGAAAACACTATTTTTTGCTTTAGGATCCTTAATTCTTAGAGTGAAGTTTGTTGAGAATTCTGAAAAAATAATTCACATTGAGTTTTCAAATTACTTGTACAGATTTTCACTACATGAGAAACTTTTACAGAATTCTGAAAATGAGCTATATACTGTATATTTCCAGAGATTTGATGCAATATGCATATTACATGTAGTCCAAATGTAGATTTGTGCACTTCCCTTCTTCTACTCTTGGTCTCACACTATACTGTGTTCTTTGCAAGCAGAAATGAAACTGAAAGAACTAGAGTTGTTCCCACGAAATGTATATTGACAGGAGCCACCTGCACTATTCCGTGTCAGCACACAAGGCCATGGAGAAACAAAGGTTTCCCACATTCTATTTTTACATTTATTCTCAATGCTTCAGTTCTTTCATGCTCTGAGGTTTTGTTGGCATCATGGAATGCTTTCTCTTACTGCTCATTTACATAGGATTTCTTTCTCCCAGGGTCAGTTCTTGCATGTATTTTAAGGTAATTGGAAGTATTAAAGAGTTTCCCACATTGCTTACAGACATCGGGCTTCTATCCTATGTGAATTCTTTCATGGATTGAGTATGCTGGGGAAAATGAAACTTTTCCCACACTGCTTACATACATAGGGTTTCTCCCCAGTGAGTTCTTTTATGTATATTAAGGGAACTGTTATATGCAAAAGCTTTCCCATAGCTTACAAACATAGGGTTTCTCCCCATTGTGAGTTCTTTCATGTCTTTTGCAGTGAATATGTGTGCCAGAAGTTTTCCCACATTGCTTACATACACAGGGTTTCTCACCAGTGTGAATTCTTTCATGTGTTTTGCAGTAACTGTGTCTGCTAAAAGCTTTCCCACATTGTTTATATACATAGGGTTTCTCCCCAGTGTGAACTCTTTCATGTATTTGACAACTACCACATGTCATAAATGCTTTCCCACACTACTTACATACATAAAGTTTCTCCCCAGTGTGAGTTCTTTCATGTATTTTACACTGATTGTGCGTAATAAATGCTTTCCCACATTGCTTACATACATAGGGTTTCTCCCCAGTGTGAATTCTTTCATGCATTTGACAATTAAATTGTGTGCTAAAAGCTTTCCCACATTGCTTACACACATAGGGTTTCTCACCACTGTGAGTTCTTTCATGCATTTGACAATCAGCCCGTCTGCTGAAAGCTTTTCCACATTGCTTACATACATAGGGTTTCTCTACAGTGTGAATTCTCTTATGTCTATGAAGTGAATGGTTTGTACTGAAGGCTTTCCCACATTGCTTACATACATAGTGTTTCTCCTCAATGTGAGTTCTTTGATGTCTACAAAACGAAGTGGTATTGGTAAAGGGTTTGCCACATTGTACACATTTAAAAGGTTTTCCTCCACTGTGAGTACCTTCATGTATCTGAATGTAGGGTTGAGAATTAAAAGCTTTTCCACATGGTGTGTCTACACAGGAATTCAATGCACTGATTTTTTTCATGGATTTGAACAGAACCGTGTTTATTGAAGGCTTTTACATGTTGCTTACATACAAGGGGTGTGTCTGCTATGTGAGTGCCTTTACTGCAATCAGGGTAGGCTTTCCCAAGTTGTTCATAGAGTTTCCCTCCAGGGTTTGTACTTGTGTGCTTCTGAAAGGACTGGAGATGACTGCAGGTTTTCCCACGTTCTTTACATATAGAAAGCTTCTCTTCAAATCCCAGATACCCAGATGACTTGAGTGAAGTGTGAGCTATGATGGGCCTATTAAGTGATGGATCACCAATCAGGGCCTGGCTACAAGCAAGATTTTCAGCTGGCTTACTACCAAGTGGCTTCTTGTTCACATTAGGATCTGGAGTACAAAAAAATACGACTCTATGTTTAAGCCATAATTTAAATTGACAGCATTTCTCTACTTCTGTACTTCTCAAAGTTCTCCTCCAACATTTGAACTCATTTTCATTTTGCCGGTCATCCCAGTTTCTTTCTATAGCAGTCATATTCGTAAAGGTTTCCCACATCACATCTCTGTAGAGCTTCCTCTGGGATGGAAGCAGCAAAGCCCACTCCTCCACAGTGAAGTTAACAGCCACATCCTCAAAGGTCACTGTCTTCATTTTGTGGCTTGGAGGCGTTCCAGAGTCCTTCCCATGCAGCTCGCAGGATATAAAAGTCCTAAAGTAAGATGGTTTAGCCTGCTAGGGTGATTATCATAAACATACTCTGGATCAGGACTTTGGTGTCAGGACACAGGAAGTTGCAGCAATCCTTGTAATAAAAAAGGAAATTATATTTTCTTAGACAAAGAAAAAAAGTACAGAGAGAATTGAATAGAAAATGCAAAATATAACAAATACTTTTCATAAAAGTTTGAATTTGAGAAAAAGCATACTAAAAAAATAATTTTGAGTAAGACAAATATTTACAGGACTGCAGACTTAGTCTTAGAGTTTTGTAGCAGTGATCACTCCTATGATCCCAGTTCACATACATATTTACATGTATCTATATTTCTCTTTCCTTTATAGCTACAGTGAAAATGAATCACGGTTCATTAAGTTTAAGTTGATGGCAATAGCAGTCTGAATATTGTGGATTGGGTTTGGTTTGGAAAAGTTAAAATATTCACATGCACAACTGTTTAGCTTGGGTTCTGAAGTTTTTGAAGATTCTACCTATAGAAGATTCTGCAAAATGTGGGGCTGTTTCATATTATAATCAGACATAATCCAAACCACCCAGAGTAAATATATGGATAGACTATCTTCCTGTCTTTATTATTTACTGTGTATGTAAAAATCTCCCTATAGAACTTCATTCATTTATTCGTTTTTGTAATACTGGGGATGGAGCCCAGGGCTTCATTCATGCTATGCAAGTGCTCTATCAGTGAACTACATACACAGTCCAGAGTATAATTTGAAGATAAATTTGACAAACATATTAGGTAGCCAGGGAATTAAAAAAAAACATTTATTCTTAAAGAGAATTTATTCGTTTCAGCAAAAAAACTACATACTGTATTTCAATAATTCTTAATTCTGTAACAGTCATTTATTACATACTTATATATTAGACACACATACATATTTTTCTATATAGCTATAAAATCTTCATCATAATTATGATTTTAAACTGCTATACATGATACGGTTCTGGCCATAACAGAGTATGTGATTAGCCTTCTACTATATAAAAATTATAAAATGATATGAGATATAGAAGCAGCTGTTTTTAAGCATTGCACAATACTTTCAACAGTGCATGATTATGCTCCTTAAGGAAGAGAAACATAAAAGGGGAGTCCCACAATCACCAGTTCATTTAGTCTGGGCACAAATTTCTAGACTACAGTGCAGCAGAACACTGAAGTGGGTGCTGGACAGAAGAGGGTAGGGTCCCTGAAAGCAGCAGGAGAGCTCCTCCCAGGACAGACAGCTGGCTGCTCATCCACAAGGGAAGATTCCCAAGAACCGAGTGGAGCGATTCTGGAGATGAGAGTGGAGGAAAGAGCCCTGACTAGAGATAGGCAGTAAGTGTGTGGAGACACTGGAGTTTGAGCTACACCACAGAGGAGAGATCCCTCAGAATGCCTCAGGTATTCAGTTAAAACCCTAGAAATAGTATGCCTCAGGAAAAAGAACCGCATTAGATTCGGCACAATATCAAAACAGTCCCACCCTCACAACACCTAAAAGTAACACTGACTCAAGCAAGATCTATCAGTAAATAAACCACTTGTTAGAAAAAAAAACTCAACATCCTTTTTTCTTTTTCTTTTAAAAAAATATCTTTAAAGTAAAATAATTCAGGCTCCACACAAGATATAATTCATAATATACACTGTAGTAAAACAATTATTAGCATGTGAATCAAGAGAAAAGGCAGTCAATAAATATAGACTTTGGGAAAACCAAATACTGGAAACTAGTATACAAGGACTTTAAAAACATTGGAAATTGAGACTGTAATTCAAAATAATGAGCTTGGCATGGTGGTACATGTCTGAAATCCCAACACTGAGGATTTTCTTATCATACAGGTTCTGCTGATAATAAATTTTCTCAAATTTTGTTTACCTGCCCCTCAGGCTGTGGCCAAGTTTGAGGCCTACTTGGGTTACACAGTAAGTTCAAGGCCAACCTGAACTGCATAGTGAGACCCTGCATCCAAAAAAACAATCAACCAAACAAACAAAAAACAAAATGATAATTAAAAAAAGATAAAGGGCTGGGAATATGGTTTAGTATGAAGGCCCTGGGTTCAGTCCCCACTAGTGCAAAAAAAAAAAAAAAGTTCAATAATTTAAAGGAAAAAAAAAAGAGACAGAATGAATAAATATACGGAGAGAAATGTCAGCAAAGAAACTGAAGTTTTGTTTTTTTTTTTGGTACCAGAGATCAAACTTGGGACCTTGCTCTTGTGAGGCAGGTGGCGGAACCACTGAGCTAAATCCCTGGCCCTGAAGCTTTTTTTTTTTTTTTTTTTTTTAAGAAAAGGAAATTCTGCAATGAGCCCAATATAATATCTAGGGAAAAAATTCATTGGGTAGACTTAGCAGTTAATGAATACTGCAGGAAAGTGTCAGTAAACTTAAAGACAGGTGTAGAAGTTATTCAAAATGATGAACAGAGAAAAAAAATTGGTCCTGCTGGATAACACTGCTACAGTTTGGGTTCATGTGTTGGAGGCTTGGTCTTCAGTGTGGCAGCGTGGGGAGGTGGTGGTGTCTTATGGGAGGTCCTCAGGTTACTGCCCTCAGAAGGGCTTAGGGCAGTTCTTAGAGGTCCCAGGTTCTGAGAGTGGGCCTGACCCGTCTACAGCCATGTGACATCTCCCTCTCCACACACTTCTGTCACTGGCTATGAGGCCAAGCTGAGGCCAGGACCATGCCCTTGAGCCTTCGGAACTATGAGCTAAATGAATTTTTCTTTATAGTTACCCAGCCTCAGATGCTTCATTACAGTAATAAAATATGGACTACTACAAACACCAATTTGTCTAGAAAGCACATATGCTGAAGTTCCAGGAAAAGGAAAGAAAGAGGGGAAAAAGAGAGAAAGGGAAGAAGGAAGAGAAGGAGGGAGGAAAGGGGGAGGGGAATATGGACAAGAATGGATAAGAAAAAAACAGGAAGAAGTACTGGCTAAAATTTTTCCAAATTTGACTTTAAAAAAAGAGGAAGCAATCAACAGATTCAGGAAGCACATCAAATCCTGGGCAATGTAAACACAGAGAAAACTGCTAAAAAACCAAAAATAAAGAAAAATCTTAAAAGTAGCTTTACAAGATAAAAGAAATGTAAACTACAGCTGAGTTTTCATCAGAAACAATGATACGGAGGCCAGAAGATAAACATAGGTGTAGAAATTATTCAAACTGAAGAACAGAGAGAAAATATTATTTAAAAAGTATGAGCCTCAGGAACCTGTGGGATAATACTGCACATATCATTTTTAAAGATGCCATATATGTTTAGGTAGGCATTTTGTGATTGGGAGTGCAGTAAAAAGATCTATCAAAGTTGCAAAACAAAGACATTGTCAGGTAAACAAAGTTTGAGAAAATTTGTTATCAACAAAACCTGTATTATAAGAAACATTAAAATTCCTCAGACCTGTAGTGCGAAATAAAGACAAGAAGTGATAAATATGTGAATAACTGTAAGAGACAATATTTTTCTTTTATTTAATTTCTTTAGAAAATCCAGATTACTAACTACATTTAGTATAAACAATAACTGCAGCACATATATGACAATAGCTCAAATGTTGTAGGAATAAAGGGAACCATATTATTCTAAATTCCTTACATTTTATGTTAGATGATACAAATTAACTCTAATTCTAATTCCACCCTTTTAGGTGGTCAACTAAATCAAAGCTATTTTCATAACATTGCTTCATTTTGCCTTTTTCACTGGGTGGACATTTGCACTGATGGTATTAAGGAAATGATAGGTAAAACTGCAACTGCTGTAAGGATGTGGCACCAAATGTATTAGCAGTTATCACACTCTACCACCACCAAGTGAGTGAAAAGAATATATGTTTTAGTATAAAATATAAACTTTTTTTTCCAATTTCACTGATAAAGCAATAAAAGTTAATTTTATAAAGGACTGACCTTTGGCTGCAGTAGTTCAGTGGTATAGCATTTGCCTAGCATAATCAAGACTCAAGACTGTAAAAACAATTAAATAATTAATTGAAAAAATACATAAAATATCAACTCTTGGAGACACATTTTTTTCATATTCTGCATTACAAAATGGTTCTGCCTCATCCTGACATGATAATTGATGAGGAAAAGCACTCACATGATATAAATTGTGAACTAAACTTCTTGCTTTTTAAATAGAATACTATTTTTACTTGAAAGAACAACTGTAGATAAAATTATAGTGATTCAGACTTGGGTATTTGGCATATATTTTTTCAAAAGTAAACAAAATCAGCCTATCACTTCAAGAAAATCAAATGACAGTATTTGCTGCCAAAGATATATCTGGGGCTTTCAAGCAAAAATTAGAATTTTGGAAAACCTGTGTCTACCACCATGATTTTTCTAGCTTTCTGATACTTACAGATTTTCCTAATGAGCCTGATGGTGAGAGTAACAAATGTGATTTTTAAATACTGTATAATGAAATGTGTCAACACTGGAAGACTGTATAAAACAGAGAACCAAGGGGCCGGGGATTTAGCTCAGCAGTTTGGTGGCCTGCCTTGCAAGCACAAGGACCCATGTTCGATCCCCGGTACCTAAATAAACAAACAAATAAATAAATAAAACAGAGAACCAATCTTTCTCAAACTACCCATCTATGCTGGTATGAAATGATGCACAGGTAAAGGATATATCCATAGTTCAAGGTATACTAATGGATTATAACAATATGAAAAGCTCTTTTATATGGTATCCTACTCCATACTGCAACCAAGAAACTGCTACTGAGATTTAATGTAATATCAAGAGAAAAAAATTCCACAATTATCTGAAAAGGCTCCTCTCCTTTATAAGCACATATCTGTGTGAGGCCAAATTTCCTTCACATAATTCAACCTAAAAAAACATGTTACAAAAATTGAATGCAGAAGTAAATGAGAATCTAGCTTTATCCATTAAGCCAGACATTAAAGAGACCTGCAAACACTCGAAATAATGCCTCTCTTTGCTCTGCATTTTTGGGAACATACAAATACTTCCTTAAAATATGTTTTTTAAAATCTAACAGGCTTATTTTTTAATATCTCAGTTTTAATTTCTCATATGGAAAACATCAATAAGCATAATCCATAAAAAGTTTTGGAGGCCCCTAAATGATTTAAAATGTAAAGGGGTCCTGAGACCAAAATGTTTCAAACTATTGCCCTAGAAAAATCCCTAAAAAAATACTCCAAAGATGTATAGCTAAACAGTAAAGAAAATATAATATTTTAAAAGTATTCAATTTATACAAAAGAATACAGGTAAAAGGAACAGAGGGAAAACAAGGAGAGGGTTGGAGGGAGAGGGCGAATACAAAATTTGGGTATCATCTTGAAATGTTCTCCTTCTTTCCTCCCTTCCTCTCACCTATCCCTCTTTCTCCCTCCCTTTCTTGTGTAGATCTAAAAATAGATCTAAAAATGTACCTTCTAGAGTTTTAATTTGTATTTCTTTTACTGTTTTACATATTTCCTCTATGGTCACATGCACTCTCACCTGGTTCAATTTTCTATCTGTCCACTGCCTATGTATCAATATAGCAAAAAGTTTCAAAGCTTTTCACCAATACAATAAATATTCTACATGCTAATCTTAATGTATGGCAGTGGAAAATCATAAAAAATTTCTCTCTCTGCTTTTGTATTAGTCAAATAAGAGCAATATTGAAACAGTGTACAGATTAAGTATTCTGAAATTATAATAATCCTATTTCAATGAATCTAAAATGCCATTATTTTCTTACCAGTAAGAAAGAAAAAAAAATTCCCTTCTAATTACAATTTTAAGATGCTATCAATTGTAAAAAGTGTTACAATTCCAGAGATGTTAATTGGTGAAAAAATGAGAGTCTTAGAATGGATGGAATATAACTGTTACAGCATGTAGCTAATAACTGAACTAATTTCCATTCAATCTTCCTTTCTCCTATTGATGCTAATGTGTATTTCTAACTCTTGGCTACCTACTTCTCTGATTTGGCCATAATGAATATTTCAGTTGATTACTGTTACTAGTAGATCAGTTTCTTACCTAGGAATTAATAACAAAAGATACAAACACAGAAAGAACCAATGCCTTTCTACATATGCATTTAATGGAATGGTTATCATAGCTGCTGAAGAAAGCAATGTCCATTTCCCTCATTAAACATTTACTGGGAACCTATATTATACCATCAGGCACTGAACTGTGAATTGGGGCATAGAAATAAAGTTTGACAGAACTCAAACTGTTGTGGCGTTCTAGTCAGTACTAAAGAATACACAAATTATCATTTAGTCGAGAGCAATGTGGGAACAGGTAAGCAAGGGGGTATTTTTAAAAATTAAAATTCAAACAAAACCAAGGCATATAAAATACAGTTATCCTATCTCTTACCCTTATTCCTGTGCACAAGACAAAGCACTGTTATTAGGATAATGTGAACTTCTACAGAATTATCTCTCTGTATAGACAAAGGGAAATGAGAACCAAGATTAATTATGGAAAGGTACAAATTTCCAACAATGAATATCATTATATCGTATACATTAAATGTACCAAAAAATTAATTTAAAAAATAGACAAAGATGTGTGTATGTGTATACATATATATATATATATATATATATATATATATATGTGAGATGCATGTGTCTCAAGAATTTCTTCACAAAAATGAAGCCATCCTGGAGATGCATCTTTGCAACTTGCTTTTGTTTAATGACCTATCATAGTCATCACTTCATATCAGTATACAAAGATCTCTTATTTTCACTAATTGCTACATTGTTTTCCAATGTAAGAATAGTACCATATTTTAACAGCTTTTGAGATACAGTTAAAACACAGTGAACAGCACATATTAAAGGTGTAAAATTTGATTAAGTTCTGATACATATAGGCACTTGTGAAACTACCACCATAATCAGGGTAATGAACACATCTGTCACCTCTGAAGGCTTCCTTGTGCTCCTTTGTGATTCCTCCCTCCCACTTCGTCCCTTCTCGCATCAGTTCCCCAACCCTACCTGCAATCACAGATCTGTAGTATGTCTCTAAAAATTAACTTGCATGTTCTAGACTAGAACAAAGAAGTACAGCATGTACAACAGTCACCCCTTACCTGTGCATGATATGTTCTAAGGCCCTCAGTAGATGCCTGAAACTGTGGATGGTGTATAATCTAATATATATCTCTTTGTCCCTTTGTACATACCCACGATAAAGTTTAACTTATATGTTAAGCATAAGTAAGAGATCAACAGCAATAGCTAATAATAAAACAACTGTGTTTAAAATATATGAACTATGTGTGTCTGGAATATTCAATATTTTTGTACTCAGCCTGGAGAAGTAGCTAGCATATGCAAGGCATTGGGTCTAATCCCCAACAACACAAGGAAGATCTATATCTATATCATCTATCACTATCTATCTATACATATATCTTGAGATAGATACATGAATAGATAATTTTTGACCACAGCTGATGATGAGTACCTGAAAATGTGGTTAAAGGAAAATTACTCCTCATTTCTTGCTTCTTTCATTTAGCACAATAATAGTGAAACTCATCAATCTTGTTCAGTGCACCAATGGTAGGTATAGGTTTAATTTTTAAAGGAACTGCTAAGCTGTATTCCGAAGTGGTTATCCCATGGTTTATCTCCACCAGCAGTGTTCCAGTTTCTCTACATCCTGGATAGCACTTGGTATGATCAGCAATTTGAATTTTAGCTATTCTAACTAGTCTGGATTGAGTATTTGTGACTTAATATGCATTTTTCTAATAACTAAAGATGCTGAGCATCTTTTCATGTGCTTATTTACCATCTGTGTATTTTCTTTGGTGAAGTATCCGTTTAAATCTTTTATGCATTTTTATTGGGTTGTTTTCTTACTGAATTTTAAGAACTTTAAAAAAAATACAGCCATTATGAATTTTTTTTATCAGTAAAAAGGAACTATAGATACATATGACAACATGGATAGATCTCAAAATACTTGAGTGAAAGAGTCCAGACAAAAAGAGAGCACATATTGTATGATTCCCTTTATATTACATTTGGGAAAATGTAAATCAATCTACAAAGTAGTTCGTGTTCTCTCTCTTTTCTACTTCCTTTTCTCTTATTTTGTATATATAATTTGCTTGACATTCTACTTTTCCTGAGACCTTTTAATTTTTTCCTGTAAGTTCCACTTCAAAGGCTTAGACATTATATATATTTTATTTTTCTGTAGCCTGAAGGAGTGATAGGTATTACTGAAGGACTTCACTATTTACTACATAGTAGACAGCCTTCATTAACACCTGAGCCTGATTTTTTGTTTTCTTTTTTTTTTTTTTTGTACCAGGGACTGAACTCAGGACCTTGCACTTGCGAGGCAGGCGGTGGCATCACTGAGCTAAATCACCAGCCCTTTTTGTTTCCTCTTGTCAAATAATTCTTTACTGAAATATTTTTCCTTGTAGCTTGTAAGTAGCCAGTGTACTGATGATATTATTGTAAAGTTGTGAGGGTAACACACTGAACATTGCAATACAAAACTGGGTTAGTCACTAGAATCTTAATAGTTCCAGAGAGTTCGCTGGCTAAAAATTCATGACATATATGTCAGGCAATGTTGACAATCTTGTTAAAAATGCTAATCTCTGTCTCAGTCTCTTTCTATCCCTTTCTCTGTCTCAGGTCTCGGTCTCTGTCTCTCTCTTTCCAATTTTAGTACAGACACTGCTGAAGCAAGCATAAATGGAATTTTTTTTTTCCCGAACCAGGGATGGAACTTGGGTCTTTACACTTGCATGATATGGGGAATCTTGGGGTTGAACTTGAATAACATGGAGGAGGCAGCTGGTGTCAACTGTAGTAGATGCATGACAACTGAATAAAGTTGTATCTCGGCCTTCCCTAAACTGAAAGTCAAAAAACTAAGTATTCCTTTTTTGTTTAAGGTTAAGCTTGTGGTAAATTTCACCTCCCTTGTACG